GTTTTTTTTTTTGCGACAAAACATTATGTTATTGGTTATGATGATTACATGGGTTAAGGTATTTACCTTAAAAATAAAATTAGTATACACAATGAGTTTTTTAACCAACTTCCAAAAAGGGTGGTTAGCAATTTTTTTAATCATAAACTAGGTAATCGTGAATACAAAGAATATTAATTCAAAAGTAAGGTAATCGTTAATACAAATAATATTAATACAAAAGGTAAGACCTACCTAACCTACACATTTTGTTCTTAACCGATTTAAAACAAATGGGTTAACAACATTTTTTATGTAAATTAGGTAACAGTGAATACAAAGAATATGAATATAAAAGGTAAGATCTACCTAACCTACACATTTTGTTTTTAACCGATTTAAAAAAAATAGGCTAACATTATTTTTTTTAATAAATTAGTTAATAGTGAATGCAAAGAATATGAATACAAAGGGTAAGGCATACCTAACAATCACATTTCAAAAAAAAAAAATGGTTTAGCAACAATTTTATTCACATAAATTAGGTAATAGTGAATACAAAGAATATGAATACAAAAGGCAGGGAACCTACCTATTTAATCCACATCCACCATCCACAGAACACACTATTACATAGCAAAGTGACTTAAGTCAGTGAGGTGTGTACCTACAAACCTAGCCTTACTTGAAATTCAGCAAACCAGCGATAAATTGTGGTTTTGGATGGGGCAGCAGCAAGATATAAATATATGTGCCTATTTAACATAGTCAACTGGCGAGGGGCCTGCGACGCAGACGCCGAGAGTCCAGGTGTCCGCAAGTGTGCAAAGGTCGCGTTAGATCTGTGAAAAGTTGACATGTAATATACAGCTTAACAGCAGCAAAAAAAACTTGCTCAGCCAACGACGGCGCAGGCTGGTTGGGAACCCAACGCCGTGGCACTTTTTTTTGGTGCATGGGTTTCTCGAGTGGGCTCCCAACACGTACCGTCGTGGAGTTTGGATCCGTCGTAATGATGTCCCCGACATATAACGGCGATCTATTAAAACAGTATATTACAAAATCAGCTGCAGCTGCATAAACATAAATATGTACTTATTAAAAATAAACACACACCTTTCAATTTCATGCACTCGCCCTCGAACACCTCTTGTTCGTGGTCCACGTCCCTCCCCCCGTTGTTGACCACGTCCTACCCCTCTATTCACACCGCGTCCACTCCCACGTCTACCTCCTCGACCAACCACCGCTTTACCACCTCTTGTTCTTAAGCCATGCAAAGAAAAGAAAGAAAAGGAGCTTAAATAAATAAAATAAAAAAAGTTTTAACAACACACGACACAAAAAAACACAAGAAAGTCAAAAAATGAAATGTCTTTTTTCCACAAAAGAGAAGTACTAAAAGGTTATTTACACGGGTCAGGGTTTTTTTTTTATTTATATATTTTATTTTTATTTCATTATATTAAAATTACACCCAAATAAAAAAGCCTCATTGAAATCGCTTGATACATTTATGCACTACGAATGTAAGTACAGACAGACAGAGACATTTTCTTGCCGCCATTTTGTTTTTTTTTTATTGCACCTAAATTTGCCCAGGTTGTACATTATTTTACACCCCTCTTTTTGCGGTTAAAACAATAAAAACCAATTCAAAATAAACATTATTTTACGGTAGCGCAGTCTTATCCATACTGTGTTACTAAATAAAAATCCGCCATTTTGCAGTACAACGACACTGCTTGATACCGGCCAGTCCCTGCAGTACATTTGCCGTAAAACATTCATATTAAAATGAATTTAAGGAGTTCTGCACATAACTACTGTTTGTTTATGTAATTATTCACTCAAAACAACAAAAACATTTCCAACAAATCAAGAATTATTGTGTAAAATATAAATAAATATGTCGGCGTACCGGCGAATTGATGGTAGTAATCAAAGAAAATATGTGTTTACCCTAAATTACAGGCACGAATCTGAATAACTTTGAGTTAAAACGAAAAATCACTTACCTTGGCATGATGTTAACGTAATTTAAGAAGACACACTATCACAATATCACAAAAAAATAATTCGGAAGCACTTCACGCACACCACGAAATTACGTCCTCGAAAAGATTAGACAAACATATTTTTTTTCTTAAAGGAAGTCTGTTCTCACTGACTTAAATGAATAAGCACAAACTATAGAGCCATACTGCCCTGCTCACACGATCAAAAACATCAACTGGTTTAAGAAAACAGACTTGAATTCGGAGCTTGCGACACGGTCATAATATGACCGGTATCAAGTAAGGGCTTACATTTTGCGGTCATATTATGACCGATATCAGGTATGTGGTCTATGGCACTGAAGCCTTTTCGGAAACCGGCTTGTTCGGGAGGCTGAAAGTCGTCGAGTTTGCGTGCGAGATGATTCATAATGACTCTCGAAAACAGCACGTAGACAAGGCTCCGAATAGAAATCGGTCAGTAGTTCTTCGAGAGAACACTGTCGCCTTTCTTAAAGAACAAGACCACCGCACTTCTGCTCCACGCCTCCGGAGTATTGCCACAATGGAGGACGGAATTGAAGAGCTTCTGAAGAACTACAAGTACCGGTGTTCCAACCGCTTTCAGAAGCTCCGCTGTAATTCCATCCTCGCCTGGGACCCTGCCGTTTTTAAGGTGCTGGAGAGCCATTCTAATCTCGCTCAGACTGACGTTCGAGATATCATCGGAATAGTGTCGGATAAGACTTGCTCTTGGATTGTTACTCATACTTGCGTGTGGCTTTAACGATGATGTGTACTGCTACCCATAGAACCTCTCAATCTCACTCAAAATCTCAGGTGTCTCGGAAACGATGCTGCCACACTCAGTCTTCAGCTTTGACAGTTGGCTCTTTCTGGAAGACAGATCTCTGGCAAAGACTTTGAAGCCCTGGTTCCGCTCGATCGCTTCTTTAATACGAGCAGTATTAAAGTTGCGTAAGTCTCGCCGCATACATTTGGAGATCTGTCTGTTCAGTTGCCTGTATGCTGTCAAATCTGTTGACGATTGCAGCCTCATCTCCCGTCTATCAGCCATGAGATTAAGAGTGTGATCGGAGAATTTTTGTGATCTTCTGCGGCGGGTCTTGCAGAACTTAGCTCCGACCGCATGGACAGTTTCCACGAGCTTGTCATTCATATCGTCCACTGCATTGCAATCTTCTAGGCACTGAAGGCGGTTACGTAACTCGAGCTGAAAGGTTTCGGGATTCTGGATTAGAGCACGAGGGGGACGGAGCGTTGACTTCATTAGACGAGACTTCACCAACTTAACGTTTAGGTTCAGTGTGCCTCTAACCATTCGGTGATCGCTGCCAGTTTTCATCCTTGCGATCACTGAGACATCACTAAACAGTTGGCGTCTGGTCGTCATCATTATTATCAAAAACAATTCCTATTACGTAACTTAAATTATTCACAATCAAACCACATAAAATACTAACATTTTTTGTTAGTCCAGCGTACTTGTATATATAGAGATCAATGTAATCATTCCATCGCCAGTCTGTACTATACCCAAAGATTTTATATAATTTATAAATAATGGTTTATTTAACTTGACTATACCATATTTATGGTTTACACACACTGTCCCATTGACGGTGTTTTGGCGGAAACTTGGTCGTTGACGGATTGTTACTCCTGTTTCATCGCTTAAATAATGGTTTGAAGTGGATTTAGATTCGTAAAAGTGACGCGATTTATTGAATTAAGTATCTGCGCGTGTAAACTATTAGAGAAAACGACGAAACAAGTGCTTCAATTATAATATAAACCTCAAGTTATTTTGATCGCTTAGGCGCTTTACGAACTATCGTCATCAAGTTTCCGCTGGGTTGAGTTGTCGTCAAAATCTCCCAAAAACTTCACAAAGTGGCGCATCAGCATATTGTGAAGACAAAATCTATAAAAATGAACACCTGAAAGAAATGATAGGTTCAGAAGGGCTAGAAGCCGGAGCCGTAAAGCCAGTTAAATTAAAAAAAAATGTTACATTCAATTACTCTTAATGGGTGCGTTTGGCAGAAAAAAGCGCTAGCAAGCGCTTACAAGCGCTAAAATAGTTTTCGGCCAGGACACGATTGCTACTTCAGTAGCGCTGACACAATCCGCCATTTTGCTTATTTAATTTGTTTGTTTTGAAGTAGAAATTATAAGTTGTTTTGTGCAATATTAGTTTTAAGTAATATAATGACATTAATAGACATATACATGTTATTAAAAATTCATGATTGTTAAGTTTTTAATATGAATACTTTACAAACATATATTTAAATTAGGTTAGATTCCCCCGGTTAAAACTAACATCGTGTCCTGGAGGAAAATAGCTACTTACGATTTGACAGCGCTTACCGCTTACGATCGCTATTTTGCTTACAAGCGCTTTGCTAGCGCTTTTTTCTGCCAAACGCACCCATTGACAAATGACAATGTCAAATGATAAATGTCATTATAGAAATTGACGGAAATCTAAATTCTAAACCTAAAACTTATTTTACCGTTACTGTGTTTACCGTATTTTACATTTGGAATTCGGAAGTTTATGATTTGCGTTTTGTTCTCTTAGTAGCTACTAAAACTACCATATGCGCAGTAATCTATGTATATGCGTAATGCATTGCGTTTAAAAATAATTATACATCATATTTATAGTATAATTCAAAAATTTGTACTTACCGGCTACGTCAGATTTCTGGCAGTCTTATTTATAATGATATAATATAGGTGCAACAAGTACAAGGGATATACTACTCTTTAGTAACACCTCTCATTAGAGAATAAATTCCTTGAGTACTAGTCAAAGAAAATTATAGATGTTATTTATAAAAAATTAAAAATTAAGAAAAAAACATGGAGATTCCATACAGAAAGCTTATAATATATGTTTTAACGTTTGTTGCCTATGCTTACTCAGGAGTAGGTTCAAATATATTACGAAATTTGAAAGACGCAGTTTTATCAGCTGAATCAGTGTTTGGAGATATGTTACGAAATGTTATAACAGTAGCTGAAAAATTTCGATCATTGCATGATATATTTGATGCAGCTGTGGAAGAGGACTGCATATTTAGTTGCCCTGGTGGTAAAATATAATTGGATTCATTGATTTTATAAAGATAGAAAAACGTTTATAATAATTATATAAATAGAGTATGACTAGTGAATATAAAATACAATATAACTTTAAGGGTTAATAAAGTTGTTTATTTTTAGGTCAAAAGCCAGTGAGAAACAAGATTCACATACCTAAATCAGATGGATGTGGATCTTTAGGATTTGATGTATATTCCGAATATTTGCCACTTGAAGAGATGACAAAATGTTGTGATGCACACGATATTTGCTATGACACATGTAATAGTGGTAAAGAAATTTGTGACTTGGAATTCAAAAGATGCTTGTATAACTACTGTGATACTTACAAAACTGTCAATTTAGCAGGAGATACTATTACCAAAGGTAACATCCAAAATATAATATAATAATTATTTTCAGCAACATTTTAATTCAGTAAATTGATAGTTTTATATTTAATTATGATATTGTACAAAAATTATCAAATAATATAATTTTTTGTTTGAAAGTGTCAATTTGCTTCTCACAGAATTTTTTCCTTAAAGTAAAGTAAAGGACTAACACCCCTCCATGAGCATAATCAATTCAACAATACACAGCATTTGAAGAAATGAAAATTTGTGCATAATTAAAAACTTCAGCATGTCATTATGATAAGCGAGACCCTTGGGTCTTAGTGGAAAAATTTGTGTAAAAGTTTCGAGACCCCTGAAATGATTGAAATTTGGACTAGTTATAAAATGGCGATACCCAAATAGCATAGAGCAACAGGGGTCACTGTCTGACTCATATAGTCATACCGATTTTCCCCAATTCAGAACCGTCTGTTATTTCTTGTTGTGAGAAATCTGCACATACAAAAAAATTGTCTGTCACTATAAAATTTATATGTAACAATTAACATGTTAATTGTCCCCATACAAAAATTTTCAATTACCCCAGATGTCCAAATCAGTTTCTCTAATATTCTAAATAAAATTAATTCAAAATGACTAATTTGGGATAGTTAGCCCACATAAATAACTAATTATTTGGTTTTTATTAACTTTTGACTGTAGCATATTCGGTACACGGACTTATTGAGTCGAAGTACTTGTGAACGTCTAATTTAAAAAAACGAAATATTGATACAAATGACATTCGAAAACCTGCCTACATGATCCTCATATAAACTGTTAGGATCTAATAGGAGCTTACATTTTTTGAACCCATTTGCTATGTGGTCTGGAAGTCTTCCGAAAAGACACTGTACCAAGGAACATGGAAATGATGAGTTCATGCAGCCTGTACTGTATTTGGTGCACTGGACAGTAATGTAGTAAAAGATAAACTTACGTGTCTCACATAGATGTATTGTAATTATATTGCTTGGTGACAGCAACAACTTTGATACAGACTTTTTTTTAAGGCGCAACATCATATTGTATAATGGTGAGCAGCCTGTGTTGGTAAACAAATCCAAATCAACATGACCATTGTTATTGAAAATTTTTGGGTTTAAAAAGAAGTAAATAGCAATAATGCCTTGAAAATTGCATAATGTGGAAGGTAACACCATTGTTTTGTAAATTTTACGTGGCAGGCCTTTTTAAATTCAGCCGTGCAACTAGATTTAGTCTAGTGAGCAGTGCAGCTAGTTTTATTGTACACATAGGACCATGTGGACTTAGCTTTGACAAAGGGGAACACCTGCGCTTACACAGCTCCGATCCGTTAATAGGCCGTGTTGCCCTATGCCAAATACAGAAGCAATTTTACAAATATAAATTTTTACCACATAGCTTGTCTAACAATAGCTGTCAAATCACTTTCTGTATACTAAATGATGATAACATTTTTTTTGTATCCTTTATTTATTACAATCTGTCGCCTTTGAGGGACATTCAGCAGTATGTTTGTTGGTGCTATCGCTGGCGTGCTCGGTATGTGACCTGTTTCACATCCTCATTATTAAACAGTAACTGCGTTTACTGTGTTTGTATTAAATCTTGGGGTATTTTGCACTTTAAGCGTCGTGCTTTGTTGCGGTTTGCCATGAGTGGCCGGGCCAGAATATTTGGATGATGTTCGATGCGCTCTTTATAAATTTTAGTATGGCGTAAGATTTCCTGTTTCACAGTAGGTAGGCGTAGATCATGATGTAGTAATTCGTTGGGCACATACCAGGGGGCATTGGTTATCATACAGAGTGCTTTATTTTGAAACCTTTGTAAGATTTCGATATTTGAATGGGATGCAGTTATGCAGTACCCCACAGTTGATAATGATAAAACTTGACAAATTAATTAATAGTGATGTTATGACTCACAACATCACCCTTAATTAGTTTGTAAAAAAACTCATGACAATTGTTTAGTATCCAAAATACTTTTCGGTTTTTAAGGTTATTTCCACAATAATGATGGTCATGCTCATTTACCTGCTACTAAATCACAAGTATAGACCAAATAAAACACTTATTTGACCATGTTTTTTTACATTTGTCAAGTGTCGGTTGGTTTGTTGTTTCATTCGGATTAAAGAAGATTTTATGATAAATGGCAAGAAAGCAAAAAAAAAATTTGTTGTGTAAAAGAATAAAATTGGTCTGGCCTTTTTACACAAATGTCTGGTTAAATTGGCAGATCCTTTTTTTTATAGCATTAGATGATAAACAAGCACACAGTCCACCTGATAGTAAGTTTTAAGGTCTAGCAAACTTACGTGGGACTATATGGGGTTCATTACAGTCAAGTCTAATATTTTTGTTACTTTTTGTTGTTATCGGGAAGATGCTGCTGCCCATCTCCTAGTTCAGTTTCCCTCTGTCGCCTCTTATGCCTACCATGGGACTAGCATTGTCAGGCATCCGAATAAAGCCAGTCACAGTCATATGCAACCAAATTGGACAGTGTCCAGCAGGTCTGGCTTTTTAGGTTTGCCAATGTTTTTTTACATTTGTCAAGTGTCGATTGGTTTGTTGTTATATTCAAATTCAAGAAGATTTTATGATAAATGGTAAAAAAGCAACAAAAAAATTGTTGTGCAAAAGAAAAAAATTAGGGGCATCCGGCCTTTTTACCCAAATGTACCGGACATTTAAACTGGCTGATCTTTTTTTTTATAGCATTACGTGACAAACGAGCACACAGTCCACCTGATAGTAACAGCACACAGTCCACCTGATACAAAAATATTGGATGCTGTGGCCCATAGACATCCACATTTATCCTCAATTAAGAATCAAAATGCAAATGCCTTGTCACCCTTGAGGACTAAGATGGAATGCGTGGATTCCAGTAAAGGGTCTCTAGTTCTCTACACTGACTATACGAAATACAGCAGCATTAAGCTACAATTTCATGAGAGCTTGGTCCTACCCCGGATGAGCCACCCCATTCGTGCTACAACTATAATATAGATGAAGCATGGTTCTACCACATAAAAAATATTAGCATTTCAGTTTTAAGGTACAGCAAACTAACGTGGAATGATATGGGGTTCATTATAGTCAAGTCTAATAAAAAATCTGTGTTTAATTATAATACAACACAGTAACCTTACATGAAAACTGAATAAGTTTGTACAGGCTGAGGTATCATCAGTCACTTTGTTTATTAGTAGTATCTAGGAATGATTTAATTTGGAAAGAAAACAGATTTTATTATAACTGCTTCTGACTTCTAGGCTACTCTAAAAAGTGTTAGCTGCATGCAGCATGCAGAAGGTTTGCACATGATCACCCCTCACACTTTCACCAAGTTTGTCTACTTAATACTGCTATTGCTTCGATCAACAGAGACATCATGACACCATTCACAAATTTATTGCAGGCAGGTTGTACACACACAACCACTCCAAATCTTTAAAGAGTAGTTGTGATTGCATCTTGGCTAACATGTAGCACAATATATTTTAACAGTATATTATTGAAAATTTATAAAATCTTAAGTAATTTATAAATATTTTATTTCTCAAGGGTTTTTAACACATTTAATTATGCAAACTGACGTATTTGACGTTATATGTATTTAACCTACACTTCCTTCAGCTGTTGTTAATTATTAATTTTGTTACAATCTACACTGATTGAGTGCAGAATTTGAGCTTTGATTGAGAGATATAATTGGTTTTTTTTCTTTTAATTATAATGAATTATATTTATATTGTATGTTCCTAAGTTGGCTCTTGTAAAATATACATAATAATATAATAAGTAAAAATTAGTTTTATTAAATGTATTATTTAAAGATTTTTGCCATTTATTGTTACAGGTTGCAAGGCAGCAGCAAAATTATTGTTTACTAGTACACTTACACTTGGCTGTAAATCATATTTGGATGCTCAAAGAAATGCTTGTTATTGTCCACCAACAAAGAACAATAAGCATAAGAAATATACCACTGGTGATGGAGAACTTTAAGTCCAAATATTATATAGTTTGTAACACATAGCTGTATAAAGAATTTTGTAAATTTAATTTAGCATTGTTTTTAAAACTGTGTTGAAGTCTTGTTTGTTGCATCATTATTTATATCATTGCTAAATAAACACATAAAATATATATAACCTTTTATTATAGCAGCAATAAAAATTACATCTTATCCCTCTAGAATTTCACACCTTAATAGAAAATATTATTTTTTTGCAAACCTACATAGATAGGCCCTTTGGAAATAGGTGCCAATGCAAATGATAAATTATATTATTTCATCTTATATGTGCAATGATGCTGTACAGTTTTAAATAAGGTCTTAGTTACCATTAACTGTACCTATTTTTAGTTATACAAATTAATACTACAAATGGACACAGTCAATACATATGTTGAGCATATAAAAATAATTCATTGCAATATAAATAAATATCTGTATAATAAAAATATAATGGTTAGTTCCTTGTTCAACCCTTATATGATTTATCTTAGCTTAACAAAAATAAGAATGTGAGCGAATTGAGAATACTTATGTAATTCTGAATTGAAATTCTTGTATCTATGTTAATAGTTCTTTGATTTCTTCCTTCTCAGCAGCATCAATATAGGGTGTACCATCTGGTGTTTTTCCATTTTTTGAAGCACCCTGAAAAGTTTATATGTATATTTAATCACATTTTAGGGATTAAACAAATTTACTTGTAGTATATCAAATAGTTTAGTTTATCAAAACTCACATGTTTTAACAATGTTTTAACACATTCAGTATGTCCTTCCCAAATAGCTGCTAATATTACTGAAATACCATGTTTGTCAACCATCTGAAAATATCAAATAAAATTGTTACAAAACCCAAATACATATAACAAACTTAGTGAACTCAAAGCTAGTTGGAGACTGCGTGAACCGTTTAACACCCTGGGATGTAACAACAGGGTCGTTTTAAGATGGGTTCCGGGTCACGAGGGTATTGTAGGCAATGAATTTGCCGACAAACTTGCATGGGAGGGCTCAAAGTGCACACAATTTGGACCTGAGCCATTTTGTGGAATCTCAAGAAGCCTAGCCCGATTGACACTTGCAACTCTTTATATTAATAAATCACTTAAGATCTGGTGTGACATACCAGGCTTAAAACATTCTAAAACCTTAATCCGGGCTTTTGATTGTAAATTCGCTTCAGAAGCCCTGGGATTAAGTAAAAATAAATTGCGCATTCTGGCAAGAGCCCTAACTGGACACTGTCGTCTTAAAAAGCACATGTCCATCCTGGGACTAAGCAACTCAAGGATGTGTCGGTTCTGTTCCATAATGGAAGAAACACCTCTACACATCCTAACCGATTGCGGACCCTTAATGTGCAAACATAACACTCATCTGGGACACTATCTACTCTGCCCAGAAGAAGTGAAATTGCTCACGGCTAAGCAACTCCTTCAATTCATTGAAGACATAGGGCTTAGCCGTGAACTATAGCCATTGCAGCGATCACAATAGATCTTTTAGGTCGCAGTGACACTGGTCTCTTTACCTAGACCTGCATAGCTGCTCGCATATAATAAAAAAAGGACATATAAAAAATTACAATCAGATAATGTATAATACAAAACTTATTACATTATATTTCATTTTAACTTACATTAGGATCAGCTCCTTTATCTAATAGATAGTTTAAAACAGCTGTTTGCCCATAGTCAGCGGCATAGTGAAGGGGTACCCGGCCATCAATCAGTGCATTAACATCAATTTTCTAAAATAAAAATTTTGAGTGTAACTATAATGTAAACAATTTTTAATGTGACATTTACTTAAAAATTATTCTGAATCTATTTAAATATTGTTTAGTAAATAAAGATATAAAGTGAATATAGACAATAATGTTCTGGTCTTATAATAATACTGGCTGTATGTAATATTTAAATACGATTAATTAGGAAAGAAAAGTCTAAAAGAATCTTACACTTTTTTCTACGATATCTTTTACTTGTTCTATGTCTCCGTTTTTAATACCCCAAACTAATTCACTCATTTTAGCGTACCTAATTAGAATAACTTATTTTACAAATGGAAATGTATTACTGTTTATGTCTTGTGCATAAATCAAAAAGAAGATAATCTTTTTTTTATTAATTGGCTTTACAGCTTTGGGTTCTAGCCCTTCTGAGGAAGATAATCTATTTATTCACTACCAAAGAGTATATAATCACTATGTTTTAGTCACAAAGTCACAGACTGATACACGTAGACTAGTATGATGCTTATGCATCGGACTCTTAAGAGCGGCCAACCCGTCTTACTTTTCATACAAACGCTCGTACGTGATTATGGCATTGTAATAGATCTTTCTTTGACATTTTTGAACTAATAGGTATCTTGTGCACTACAGCTAGGTTTCTATCAAAACAAAGAATCAAAACTTGGAGAAACAAATTCAGTATAAGCCTCCAAAAATCTGCTTTTTTGCACAAAATTACCTGAATTTTGACCGTTCATAATGTACTCATAAATAGTAAAACCAATGAAAATATTTTGATAGAAAGCTCGCAAATGTAATCGAGTTTCTAAATGACAAACATTTATTTCACAAACTTGTAAGGCTTACTGAAAAACACGTATTCCCTGAAACAAGTTTTATGAAATTTCCACACACTATTTTTCGTTCAATGTTATCGCGTTCTCACTTGCTTGTTAGTCAAGTGGCGGTGAGGTATGCGGGGGACGAGTCGTGCGGGCTTGGGGCGGTGTGAGACGGGGGAGTTGAATGACGCTCGGCTCTCGGGCCTCTCGGAGAATGGTTAGCAGGTATAGAATTTGTTGACTGCGCGTACGCGAATGTGCTGTTGTATTTTAATTTTAGTGAATTCTGTTTTACCTAATACGACGGTCTTGTTTTTTTTTATATCGGACACTGCTTTGGCTTGCGAAAAGTTTAGTGTTGTGAACAACAGAAATTATTGACTTACGTTTCCCACGCAAACTGCCAATGAGAGATAGACTCGATGATTGACTGTATTAGATGATAATAATTAAATTTTTTCTAAATTTTCAATTATATGGTAATTAAAATGTGACAAAGTTTTTTAGAATAAAAATTGATATTTACCCAACTGTATTTAGACTACTTTATTTGATCAACCGCCTGTACTACGGTACAAATTAGTAGCTATACAAACACACATTTGTAGTCATTTACATATGGTACGTACATGTTAAATAATTAGGTACGTTTCCGCATTCTCTTATACAATACTAATACAGACAAACTGGATAGATAAAGAATTTATTCTGCTCCTGCTACTAGTCCTAAGCAGAATAAATCATTTACGTTTACTTTTTCGTGCTGTATTTACGTATATGATGGACGAACAAAAAAGTCGAACGGAACTCCCTGCTAAAACAAAACTGAGTCTGGTCTATGTGGGTATTGACGTTTGCGCGTGTAATGTCTGACTAATGTGTGAATGTGTTCGGGCTTGTACGCACGACGACCATTTTAGAAAACCAGTTTATACGGATCTCTCTTTGTACGGGAAATTGATACAAAGCAAGACCATTGTATATTTTATATTATTATTTATTATTATTAGAAACAAATTTAAGAAAATAGATTGAAACCAGCTTAAAAATTAATTTATTCAAATACTTTCAGCACAACTAGTTGAGCTGTCGTTGTTTATATTAATTATTATTGGATTTTCAATAATGCAGTCAAAATTAATGTCTCTTTCAAAATCATCCACTACGTTTGCTCAATCATCCTTTATGATATGGGCACATACTTCAACGAATATAGAATAAACAGTCCAAAAAGTTAAAGGCGAGCAAACACAAAATCAATATACGTTGACAAAGTAAAAAAATAAACTTGATATTTCATGATTCATGTAAAATAAACGCGATAAAATCCGTAAAAGTAGTTTTAATCATGATTCATGTAATTTAAGGAATTTTAAATATAATAATTTAAACAAATAATAAATTAAAAAAATTAATGATTCGATTATTTGAATATTTTTGCCGATTATTTGAAATTTTGGCCGATTATTCGCATAACAATGAATTTTAATCATCCAAACACTACGGTATGGTACATAGCGACATATCATTGACACGACGTCAAGTAAAAAACTTGATATTGGTTGTTTTTTAATATTTTTCTTAGTTTGAAGGATTCGAATTTAAATTAATGATAAAAAAACTATACCTGTTGTAGTGAAGTATAGATAACTTCATAATTCTTCGGATTTACGTGAAAGGTTATTTTAAATCGTGTGAATACACTTGTGCAAAGTTATTGCGGCATGATTAATGTGAAACGTCAAAAGGTATTTCTTAGATTTGGTTGACTATAGTCTGTGTCATACATTAAGCCCACGTATGGAGCGTAGACAGAGAAACCTATAGACAAATTGACGCCTTCTTTCTCATTCGCACACGAAAAAGATAGATTTATGCATACGTCTTGCATAGAAATGAGATAGTGCGGTGTGATTGTTTGTCCCTTTCTCCGTGCCGGTTTTTTTGTTTAGCAAACTCTACAGTTTGTTAAACAACTTTAACAGCGTAGCGATTTAAGGAGTTTACAAATTGGTTTAAGTGAGAAAAAAGTGTTTTGTGAGCTTAAGATTGGTGAATCTTGTTCAGTTCAGTTCTTAGAACAATTAAAATTTTTATCTAAATGTGTTTAAAAGTCATAAAGATTATTGTATAACCTAAAAATTCGTTATCGTCCTTTCTCACTCGAGACCACGCCGATCATTAGTCTATAGGTTTCTCTGTCTACGGTATGGAGTGTAGAGGTAAGGAGTACAGACTCTGTATTAAAAAGTGTCCGTAGGAAAGAGCTAAATAAGGGTGGCGATGTGAGTGATAATTTTTTTATTGCGCAGACTTTCACTATGTAGTGATGTATGTAAATTAACGTCACCACATATAACACACAAAACGTTTATTGTCCACAAGCACAAAGAGAGTTTAGAAAGGCGGAA